CATAAAAGAGCAAACTGTTGTGTGTAGACTGGTACTTCAGCGTAGTTGAAAGCCTGATGCGTCAGTGCTAAGTGGTCTGAAGAGGAAAAAGGAAGAAAGCAACACACATACTGAAAAGGTAAAGAGAAAATCTCTCCATACAGTGTGCGCCTTCTGTCGGATGTTCCCTTGCTAATCTTTTAGCATCGATCGCAGTCAGCCCTCACAGACCTCAATCATGGCCGAATGCTATGGTGCAGTACCTCTTGAGGGGTCAACGGTAAAACTGGGATTTCTGGGATTCAAAAGCAGCCAGTAGTGGACAAGAGCAGGGCAAAAAAGGGGAGAGTAAAGCAAAACCGGTATCTTGAGGTGTCAATCATCTTCATCTCAGTCAGTGCTGCTGTTTTCTCACAGCAAAACGACTTTACAACAGCTGGAGAAAATGTAAGTCAGAGGAAAATGTCTCATTGCTGGTGCTTTTCTTAAGATAGTGCGCTCATTGTTTAGGAGTGAATATTCCAACCCACACAAAAATGTAAAAAGCACAAAGGAGAACCACGACACATTTCTATTATAATCAGGGGGTACTTGAAAAGGTTGTGGAGTAGCTCAGCTTACTGATGTGATGCTGATTTGTGACTTTCAGTATTTTACAATCATAATAACCAGTATGTTTCCAGCTAAGACGAGGCTGGCTAAAGAGGAAAACCTCAACTTTCCTCGGATCTGAGTTGGTTCTCACTCCTTAACACCAAGTGTAGCTTACTTGAAAACTACATCTAGTTAGCGAGCAAGCAGAAAAGTCAAAAATGATAGCTGTAAGTAATTGAAATTGGCTGAAATTGCCAAGTTACTGCCACTCCAGTAGCTGTCTGAAGGGCCTCCGTCGGAAAAGATATTAAGGACACCAGCCGCATGTACTGCATCGCATTTTCTCCACTGGAAGGGCACCCTGTAATTTTTCTTCACGCTTTCTCACACATTGGGCCACCGTAGAGCAGAGCTGCTCATAAGGGGAGAAAAATGGGGAAAGCTTTCTGGGGCTCAGTCTCTGGGGTTTCACCACAATCTGCAGTTAGTTTGAAATGCTTTGCAGATGTGAGTAGCTCCTCTATGTTCACTGCAATGTGAGATAATAGGGTTCATCAACATTACACTCAAGATTCAGGTGTTTTATTAGTATCTGACCAAAATCAGCACACTCAGAACCACAAAACATTTATTTAGGCATCTCAACAGAGGAATAATCTTTTTTTTTTCAATACCTGGACTCAATTTGACCATAGCTTTATATATTTATTGTTTTATTGTTGTTTTTTCCCTGCATACTACTATTGGTAGATTGCAATTGATAAATTGATGTGGATGATTTGTGTTCTTGTATACTTTGGTGTCCTGGTCTTCTTTAGAACTGAAAAAGTACCATGTACAGTAGAAAATGTGTTAAATATGTCCTCCTTTTTTGAGCACTGTCTCTTTTTATTTCCTGTTTAGTTTCAATTTATTTCCGTTTAAGGAAAATATTTAGTGTGTGACTCCCCTGACTTGGTTGTGCCCAGTATTGTTCAGTGTTGTCAGCTTGATGACTTTTCAGACTCTCTTAGCCACTTTATTTTTCAAAAGCCACCAGCAACTGTCATTTTTACCCATTAGAAGCTATTTGCCACTACTGGAAAATGTATAACTCGACGTGTTTAAAGTCAGCCAACAGTAAGCACTATCTCGGGGGAATCACAGACTGTTACTTAATGGAATTCAAATGTCAATATAGTCCTCAAAAAACTACGTTCTAAATAAATATCATAAAATTGTAGGAAATTAAAATTCTGTTGGAGGGGTCTCATTTGGACCCACATTTGTCTTTGCCTTTGCCTGGACAGGTGGTTGGGATGAGCTTGTTTTCTTGGGTTAATGCGATCACTCACCCCGGGTGTATGTATGTATGTTTGTAGTTTGTATGGTATGAAAATATGTCAATAAAATTAATATTAATAATTATAAAGCAACACATGAGCTAGGGCTAATCTCATATAACAAGCTTAATTTTTCATTCTTCTTGTTTAATAAGTATTCAAGGATTCAAGTTCATTGTCATTTGAAATGATAATGAACATTTGAACCTTGATTAAAGTTTAGAGATTAACAATTTTTGCTTTCAGAGCTCCGAAATGTGGAAAAATAACAATAAATTCAACCTAATAGTTTCCTTTTTAATGGACTTAATCCTCCCAGTGAGTTATTCTTATAATGATACTGTAAATCAAATCCCTTACTCAACATGCACCTTGTAACATGCAAGTTACAATATCCCATCAGCAACAATTCATTCTCAGGCCAGTGAGTTCACCTGCATTAAATCCCACATAGAAATCAAGGATTAAACAATCCTAAATATAGGATGCACATTTCTTCTGGAAGGACATTTGGTTTTGTTCCTGCATGTAACTAACGCAGTACATTACATGCAGGAACAATCTGTATCCCCAGGGGGTTTATGTCCTAATGTAATGACTTAGCATAGAGCTGCATTTACTGTAGGGTCAGAGGACGTCAGGCTAAGGATACGCTCAGGCAATCTGTGTGTGTGTTGGGTGTCTCCTGGGTCTTAAAGGCCACGAAGCAGCATCGACAGAAGCCGGAGGTCAGACAGACTGAGGGAGGGCTGAGAGAAAAGTTTTAAAAGTCATCTGGTCCCCTCAGCACTTTCCTCAGAGGAAGGCACGACTCTCCCCCCCCAGAACACACACAAACACACACACAAACACACTCGACAAACTGATTACCCCAGGCGATTACGCAGCTGAAAAGATTGCTCTAACAAGGGGAGATGTGGAAGAAAGGAACACAGATCAGGGAGGTTGGAAACACAAAGATTATTATATTGAAGACATTTTTTTTCTCTCATCTGCTTTAAAGATCATGTGATATGATTGAATGTGAGATTATTGCCTAAAACGACCATTTCCGATCTCAAAAAGGAACTTTAAAAATCTTTAAAGAGAAATTTGAACTTGGCTAAAACCCACCTGCTGATGACAACAAACAGCCACTAAATAAACCTTGTGCTGAGATTCTGGTTATATGAGAATGAATGTAGCTGTCGGTGTATTCGTGTAATAGCTTAATAAACTGTTCCGATTAGGTGCTGTGTCTTAAAACCAATTCTTATTCTAAAATATTTATTTTATTTAACTTTAATTGTTGTTTATTTGTATGTGGACTAGTAGCAGAAAACTATAAAATAAAATAAAAACTATAAAAGCATTTTTAATATTATATCCTATGAGATTCAACTGAAATGCGAAGCCAGTCAGCTTCTTATTCAACTTCATTAATCTGGATTTACTGTCTGATTCACAGCTTTCGTTATTCAACTAAAAATCAGTTAACACTGCACATATAGGCTACAGTATATCTATATGAGAGGGGCTTATAGAAGTCAGGTTAGGATTTTTATTGGAGAATTGATACATTTAATTTATAAAGGCCTTTTAGATTTTGTGAAATGTGCTTTTGGACTTAAGGACTATGTTGTTTTTAGTTTTCTATGTTGAATGTCTTGTGTTTTCTTTTGTCTGGGACCATGTTGGACATAAGTATTTTCACTTTAACATGTTATCCTTTGGATTTTCGTTGTTGTTCCTTCTCCTGTGTGCGATAATCCATAAATAAAAATCTGTTATTACATACGCTGTATGCGTGCATTTGGTGACATAGATTTTTAGGTGACATAATTCATTCATTTGCATGTCATTGTCTGCAGAATCAGATAAATATTAAAGTGCTGCGATCACCTCAGGGGATTAGAAAAGTTTGTGATGCAAATCAGTTCCAACTGTAACAATAAGCTGCCAGACGCTTTGAGCATCAACAAAATGATGATTTTCCCCACTGTTTCAGAAAGTCAGTAGGTGTGCTGGTGGGACCTTTGGAGAAACTGCCAGGGGATCCCAAAAAGTCATTAAATGTAATAACAGTCATCAATCTGGCAAGTCTCTGTGTGGGCCTATAGGGGATAGACAAATTAACTGTAACACTATACAATGACATAAAATACAGCAACACAACACCACAAATCCAGCCTCAGAGATGACCATAAAGCTGAATCAGCACCCTCACTGTTTGAGTTTGACATGCATCACAAGACTGTAAATTTCCCAGGGACAGTTCACCTGAAAAAAAATAGAATACATATTTTTGCTCTCACTTGTAGTACTGATTATCCATCTAGTCTTTTTTGATATGATTTGCTGAGTTTTGGAGATATCAGTGGTATTAAGGATGTCTGCCTTCTCTTCAATATAACAGAACCACATGGTACTCAGCTTGTGGTGCTCAGAGTGCCAAAAACACACATTATAAAACTCACTGAGGAGCAATTTCTCTTTCTAGAAATCATAACCCGGTTACTGAAGATAATCCACAGACCTTGTTGTGAGCAGTTCCCACTGGCAGCCTCTGTAGCTGGCAAATGAAGCCAACATGGAAGTAACACAAATAGTTCCTTTAAAAGGCCACTTGAGGCTGGCTACAGAAGTGAGCCAATTTCTATAAGGTATATAGGTACTTTCCCTGTTCATGAAAACTGTACAGGTTGATTTTTTATATATTTAAACTTAAATTACATCAAGGTTTAAAGTTATGCATCATTAAGGGCATGGCCGCTTTGAGTGACCAGGAGCTGAGCTTCACAGTGGCTCTTCAGAAACCTATGGGTGCCTTCATTTTTAATTATACAGTCTAATCAGTGGAGCTCAGATTTCTTCATGGATTGCAATAAAGATGAAGAAAAGAGGCACTATAGGAGAAAAGGTCAAACATCTCCAAAATCAATAAGCTTCTTATTCTTGACAGCTTTCATGCAAATCTGGCCATTATTGATTTAGTGTAATCTACTTTATCCTTGTGACTAGAATATTATTTTGCATTTAAGAATCAGCCAACTTGCATTGCTTGCATGCAATTAAGCTAATCTTTCAAACATTACACTGTACGATACGTGACAAGTGCATTCTGACCTATAGATATGGTCCAGACAGCGGCGATCTTCATCATGGCTTTGGTTCTGGAGTTGAAGCGGCTGTGCTCTATGGGGTTGCGGATGGCGACGTATCGGTCCAGGGAGATGGCGCACAGGTGCATGATGGAGGCAGTGGAGAAGAGCACGTCCAGGTAGATCCAGATTGGACACAGAGCGCTGGGGAGAGGCCAGGCGTAATCTGGAACACAGAGAGAGAGAAGAAGAGGTAAGGAAAGGCGAGGAAGGTGGAGGATAGAACAAAAGTGAAAGAAATACAGTCCTGTAGAACTTACTAGACCCCTTATACCCTTATAGACTAGTAAAGGGTACACTGTCATTTTAAGTGAGAATTACTTAATTTTTTACATTTTTATTTGTACTGTGAAAACAACATAGAAAGTTATTAATCAGCAATGTTTCTGTAACTTACAAAACTAAGTTAGTGCCACTTAAAATTACCTTTAAAAGCAGCTTAATCAAGAATTCTTTAAACCTAAAAAAGTCTGTGTTACTTGAACATTTTGAGTTCAGTTTCAACAATTTTTTGAGTTAAATGAACTTGTCTGGTTTTACAGTGTAGTATGTTATTGAAATTTACTGTTTTATTCTTTGTATTTACTCATTTCAAGGATTACAATGACGTTTACTCTTAAATGGCAGTAAAAAATAAGATTAGCTTTAGGTTTTTTCTCCGCTGCTGCTGCTGATACACAAATGTCTTTGAAAGCAGTGATAGAGTAAATAGGTTCAATCTGTTCTGAGGGCCTGGCTGAGTGAATGTCATCAGGATCAGCGGAGTATGAAGGCTTAAGACGCAGCATGCAGAGGTTGACTAAACTTTAATTAATTGGAGTACATCAAAGCGCAGGGCACAGCATGCTTTTACGCTCACTAAATCCCCCACCTCCCATGAGGAATCAGGTTAGGGCGATAGTTTGATTACAGCATTTACATGGTTTACAAGTATCAACCCTGATTAATATGATTAAGATAATCGGATGTGTGGAATGTGAATGCTATAGTTGGAGAGTAGAGTTAAGATTAGATAATGAGTTTGCATGCAAATGTTGCCAGCAGGGAGGTGAAGCTTTGGTTTAGATACTGCTTAAGATAGACATTTTCAGAGCCAGTTAATAGTGGTTTAACATAAATGGATGTATGGAAAATAATATAATAAAGCTTTGCTGTGTCTGAGGGTTTGTGTGAAGTGTAGACTCAAGGTTTACTGCATCCTTCTGATTTATAGATTTTAAAAAATGGTGACAAGGTATATATATAACAAAATAATTAATAACCATGTTGATTAAGGCTGATTATAAAGATAAAGATTTAGCAGATTAATTTCCACAATACTGCAGCCACACTGGTTAAAAGGAAGTCATTAAATTAAGTGTAAAGTTAATGTTTTACAACTGTCAACCAAGGACTTGATGTATTCCTTTAGGCAACATAATACATGCTTATTATCAGCACATTAGCATTGTGATTCTGAGCGTGTTAGCTTGCGCTGTGTCATTGTACAGCCTCACAGAGCCGCTAGCATGGCTGTAAGCTGTTTATCATCTCAAAGCTTTTTCATTGTAAATGGGTCCTTGGCCAACGCTCCTGCCCTTGCACTTTTCTCACCAGGGGATGAAAAACAGCGAGTTTTAGCAGAAGTACCATGAGTCTTGAGTTTTGTGTTCATTGCCTTGTAGGCCTTGCAGGGTTGATGACTAATAAAAACACATATGGGCGAGTTTTTTTCCAACCATTCATTCGAAAACTTTCCACCTGTATGAGTTGGATTAAGTTGCATACAATATATACACCATGCAATGAACAGAAATGCTACAAAGATTCAAGGTGCATGCACGATTAGAGGCAAGCACGATGCACTGCCCTTTAGGGTGCCCTTCCAGTAGAGAAAATATGATGCTGTGCACTGATGAGTGGCCTTAAAATGGAGAAAATGTGAATCAGTGCCAAGCTGCCCTACATGCTAGAAAACCTTTTGCGCACTGGTGCCAGTCAGCTGCTGTTAACAGTTAATCAGCCGTAAGTAAAATTATTATTTAACTTCAAGCAGGAAACACAGGCCAACATCAGATATACTAACAATGACAAGCTATTTTTTTCCTGTGATGCTCTGTTAATCCCCGATGGTGAAATCCTTCTCCATTGTTCCCTATCGCAGGGAGGTCAAAGGTCACAGCCAGTGACAATTTAACACACTGTAGAGCTGCGAGTGAGTCAGCATGGTTTGGGTCACAGGGAATAAAATTAGCTTCTCTTATCTCAGCAGTGGGCCAGTGTGCCGCCTGGGACGCCAACACAGCAGCAGAAGTAACTAACAGAAATACAACAGGGAGCAATTTGGCAGAGACCAGCTGAGACAGAATTAAATCAGTCGGTTAACTTTTGCTTAAACCGGGGTAAATTCATTAGCTTGATTGGCGGGCTGGCTGCTTAGCGGCTAAAGTGACATCCTGGCACGGTTTATACCCAACAGCAGGAAAGGTATGCTGAGGAGAAAAACAAATTTAAGCAAAACTTTAGTTACATCTCCCAAAATCTGATTTAACCAAACATGAATGCACTACACGTCCTCTCAATACCACCTAGAATTAATGTCTGTGTTTTTTTAAATTGCAGGTGACTGTATCATCAAAAATAAAAGGGTTTAAAGATGGCTCGAAGCTCACAATGTAAAGAAAACTCTTCTGGAACAAATCTTTTCTTTTGTTTCTAAAAGATTTATGTTCCCTAAAGCTTGTGCTGTCCGGAGTAATAACAACAATGAAATGCAAAATGCAACTGAAGAACATCAGGGAGAAACTGATCGTGCTCCTGCGCACCTCTGCTCTGTTTTATTTCCAGCTGTGTCAGCTTTCAAAAGAGAACATGTACTGCAAAAAGCCAGTCTCTCTGTGTCTTTCTACGCCTGCAGCTATTTATATGAACAGTCCTTTCTTTACTGAGGACAAGACCTGCAGCCAAACACACATACACACACACACACACACACACACACGTAGAGTCCTTAATTTCATCTCTGATTCGCAGGACAAGCAGCATGTATGTGATGCATGTGGAGTGAATCACACGCTTCTTTGTGTGTGTGTGTGTGTGTGTGTGTGTGTGTGTGTGTGCTGAGTGGGAGGCAGCTTGCATAACTTTTCAGAGGTCAAACACTTATTGGGGGCACAGCATGACACACACACACACATACACACACACACAAGGTGTTACTCAGCTGGCTCGCGGGTGCGGTAAATGCACTGAGAGACTCAAGTCTGCTACAGTTGAATACTGTTTATGAAATACATAAACTCTCAATTAAAAAGCAGCATTTTGTTTCTTTATTACGACGTTGAGCCAGTGTGCGTCGGTGAGGGCATAATGGAGGGAGATTATGATTCAAACACATAAACAGATCAGATATTAGTCAAGGGGAGGATCTGAGGTGAGGATTTATGGCTGGAGCGTATATTTCTGCGTACCAGTTTAGCTTGAGGCTGCATTAATTCTAAGAATAAGAAGGTTTTCTCAGGTCGGGGTGTTAGAAGACAACAAATAATAAATACGCAGCTGATTGCAGATGATATCGCAGGCTTTAACACTGCCGCTTGTTGGATATCAGCACCCAATGCTCTTGATATCATGTAAAAGCTTTTAAGCTGCCGTTCAAGTGCTGATGGCAAATGTGGCTTTAAGAAACAGGACATCCCAGCATTTACTCTCATATTTCTGTGTTTTTGAAGCAGTGAAGTTCAGAAAAAAGGGTTGGACGTTTTCAGGCTGGACAGCAAACTGTAAAACACTCAAAGAAATGCAGATACCGCACTCTGCCTTGGAGAATCATAACTGAATGCTCCGAGCTGCATCTACTAAGAAAATAAAGAACAACAATAGCTCCCATAGAGGTTGGCATAGAGGCTGCTGGCATCAGTTATGATTTTAGAACAGGAGAGTATTTCTCAGTGGAAAAGATGTTTTCACTCTTTTTTAGGGTTTTACTACTCTATATGGTTTGTTGATCTGATTGGTTGAAGTTCGCCCGTGATAGACGGTGATCGACTGATTGGTTCATCCGATCACCTTCCAAGTATTTTTTGAAAGTGCCTGCCCTTTTCCAAACTGCTTCCAACAACGGCTTCCTAGAAGATTCTGTATAATAAACCATTTGGCAAAGTCAGGTTAACTTTATATGTATACAAATACAGCTGAAACAATAACTCAATAAACTATATTAAAAGGTCATGGTTCCAGCTTCACAAATTTAAGGATTTGCTGCTTTTCCTTTTAATAATTTAAATAATTTTAATGTATTATGTATTAGTATGTAAAGATCATATCAATCGATTAATGTGGAATATAAGCAACAGATGAATCCATAATGAAAATAATCATTTGTTGCAGTCAACACAAAATAGTTTAAATAAAAAAAACGTTTTTAATGAGCTCTACCTCAACCAACTACAACAGAAAAACTGTTTTAGATAATGCATATTCTTGTGATATAATATATGGTAGTGTAAGATGAGATTTATTTTTGTTTATTAAAAGAATCTGCATGATTCATTCAGTGATTTAATGGTAACTACATATACATTTGTATACTGCTCAGCGGTTTAAGTGAGGAACTACATAATATGGTGCACTATACCTGTAACGTTACTGATGGTTAAGACTGGCAGAGCGATATGATGTAAGGTAGTGGGCGATCACTTTTGTTGTCTGTGTTCAGTTGTCCTACTATTGAAGCGGACATTAAAGCGAACTAAGTAACAGGGATAGGTTGCCCCCGAGCTCATGCTTTACCCACACATTTTGATGCGACAACTATCAAATGTATAGTTAACGCTAAGAGTCAGTCAGCGTTACAATAGTACATCAGTCACAGGGGACATTTTTCTGAGTATCATTCATTGAGTAATTTTATTTCTAATACTTAAAGTACAATTTCTGGATTATACCTGCATACTTTTACTTAAGTAAAGCATCTGAATACTTTAAACTCTGCTTTCCACCACTGCTTTCGATACATTGGGTGCACACTACTTACTGCATTTGCATTGAATGTTGACACCAAATGTATCATCCCTTACAGATTTGTCTAATGGACCACAAAAAACATAATAATGTGGTACATTATGCAACAAGCCAGAGCACTTTGAGGAAACCCTTGCAGGATTATGGATTATGGAGGGTCATTAA